TTTCACAGTGTAATCATTTAAACCATCTTCTCTACAGTATTCACTTAGGCTGACTTTCTGTTTTCTGGAGGAAATGTGTTTGTCTCGCTCACCCTCCAGTCACTCAGCAGATTTTTTTTTTTGACCCATAACATTTTATTTCGACTCAACTGTGTCAAGCACTGAAAATATTAACATGCATAGTCATCTGTGTTTATGAGTTTCATCCTAAAAACCATCTTTTTTAAAACTGGACTTTGGTTTCAGATTGCTGAATTTTTTTTTTTTTTTTTTGCTTTCTGAAAGAAGCAGATTCTGATCCATTCATCTAACTGTACTGCACAGATCTATGACTGTCACTCTTGAGCGTATGAAGTGCTTTAGTAAACAAGAGCTGGGTGTGGGACGCAAGTGGAGCTCAGTGAGGCCTAAAGTTCTCTGAAAGAAGCGTCTGAAGCTGAGGCTCCTTCGCTGTTCCGTTCCGCTCCCGGGCAGGAACCTGGCACACATGTTTAGCGGCAGCAGGTTATTTTAGCTTGCAGGTGCTTGGGTCCTGCGGTGCTGCTTTCTGTGGGTTTCCGCTGAGCTGGCGCTGCCGTGTATGCTGGGTGGGTCTGCACAGGTGAATGCGTGTCCCGATCCAGGCAGCTGGGATCTGGGACCGAGGTGTCAGATTCGGGAGGTTGCTCACAGAGGCTGGTCACGCTGGTCACGCTCCGCCTCGGAGAGGCTTGGCAGCGGGCCTTGAACCGCCCCAGGCAGGCCACCAAGACAGAGATTTTGGCTGCGGGGAGGAGGGCAGGCTTGGAACTGTGTGCTGAGAGCCAGGTGAGGGGCCAGTCACGTGGGCCTTGCTTTGGGCTCAGGGCAGAGCCGGCCAGCTGGGTGTTGAGCTCGAAGCTGGGAGCCCTGGGGTTAGTTCCCCATGGCCAGCTGGCCTCTCAGTGGAATATGTTGGATTTCTCAGTTCCCCTGCTTGCCGAAATCAGTTCCGTTGTGATTTCAGTTAATCAGCAGCTCACTCATGGTCAACTTTTTTTTTTTAAGTATTTTATTATTACAATAATATTGGCTGTGTCTCACAGCATGTGAGATCTTAATTCCATGACCAGGGATTGAACCCATGCCCCCTGCCCTGGAAGCGAGGAGTCTTAACCACTGGACCACAAGGGAAGTCCCCACGGCCAACTTCTTGATTCCCTCTAGAGTTAGTAGCTGCATCACTGATTCTGGTTGAACACCCTGTCACAACCTCAGTTCCCAGGTGCCAGCTGGGCTGTGGCTGCTAAGCTGTCCGAGTGGCCGGCCGTGTCTGTTAGCTGTCTTGTGCCAGTGTGAAGTCAGGCAGCAAGGAGGCGACGTGTCTCGAGCTCCTTCCAGACGCTGGGAAGGGTTCTCATCTTTCACGGTGAGGCAGGAAACTGAGGCTCTGAGGTGGTGGCTTGTTGCCAGGCGTCACACAGGTCAAGGTCACGGGCTCTCCTGGCGCGCCTTTCCTGAAGCGGTGCCCTTGGCCGTGTGCCCAGACTCGGCTTCTCTGGTTCCATTTTGAGGAGCCAGTTTCAGTTAGTCAGGTGTGTCGAGCCTTTTTTCCCCCGGGCCACAGAGCTCCTGGGGGATGGGACGCATTCGTGTGGCCCTTGGGGACAATGCTCCAGCCCCAGGAGTGAAGGGTGGTCTCCCAGGAGAAGGTGCCAGAGTGACAGTGTGGGGCAGTTGCCCCCACGCTCAAACAGGAGACGTGTACTGGGAAGCGGGCAGTCAGAGTGGAGGCAAAATTTAGATGAAAAATTGATCCGTGGAAGGCCCTCCTTGGTGATCCAGTGGTTAAGACTCCGAGCTCCCGATACAGGGTGCCAGGGTGCAGTCCCAGTCGGGGAACGAGGTCCCGCGTGGCACAGCCCTCCCCGCCGCCCCCCAAAAAAGGTTGATCTGTGCAAGCGGGGTACGGTCCTTCTGACCAGACACGTCTGTTCCGTTGGCCAGCCAGCCATTCTGGTCTTGGAACCAGTTCTGTCCATTATCTAGCTCTTATTTCAAGTTTTTAAGTGTTATCGGCCAACAGAATGTTCTGTCGTTCCAACAGTATGTGTTCCTTGTCTCATTACCTGTAATTTCCAAGATTGCACTTTTTCTTGTCCTGGGTTGTGTTTGGCCCCGGTGGCTCCCAGCTGAGACTTGGGTTCTGGAGGGGTGTTTGGACCCTTCCCGTCCCTGTTTCCCTTTTCCGCTTGGCCCATTCTTATCTGCCTGCGCATGGCTTCTCATCCATAAATCTGGCTCGCCCACTCCTGGCCTGGCCCCCAGACCAGGTGGCTGCTTCCTTGGGTACCTGCAGCCGTGCGTGCTCTGACTGTCCACCCTGGGAGAGGGCTCCTGCCTTCTTATTACCTATTGATTCTGGCCAGGAAAGTCACCAGGTGACTCTCACCTTCCCTGCAACCCCCCTGGCACCACCCCCGGCCCCCCGCCTCCGGTCTGTTTATTTAGGATAGCCAGGGTAGGTGATTATTCATTCAAATGACTGCTGAGTTCCACATGGTTTTTCTGCTTTAACCACTTCAGTGAACAAATAGAGCCTGCATATCTCTGCCTTCAGAGGGGCAGGGACACAAGGGGCCCCTGTGTCTTGGAATTAGCGTTTCAGGCATCACAATCACACAGCTTCCCTTTCTGGGGTGTGCACCACTCAGAGACTTACCTAAGGGGTCCCATGTTTTTGGGCATTTTGTTTTAAATTTTTATTTATTTTTAAAAAATATGTATTTATTCGGCTGTGCTGGGTCTTAGTTGCGGCAGGTGGGATCTAGTTCTCTGATGACCAGTGATCCAACCAGGGCCCCCTGCACTTGGGAGCTTGGAGTTTGAGCCACTGGACCACCAGGGAAGTCCCTGTTAGGCTTTTGAAATTCTCTCCCCTGTGCTTTAGATTTGGGAAGGTGGTCCTCATGATGCCAGTTTTCCCTTTTCATAACTGTAAGTGCCTCTGATAGGCTTCCCCGGTGACTCAGTGGTAAAGAACTTGCCCGCCGGTACAAGAGACACAGGAGACGGGTTCAATCCCTGGGTCAGGAAGATCCCCTGGAGAAGGGTGTGGCACCCCACTCCAGTATCCTTGCCTGGAGAATCCCATGGACAAAGGAGCCTGGCGGGCTACAGTCCAAGGGGTCGCAAAGACCCTGACACAGCTGAGTGGCTGAGCGTGCATACACACAAGCGCCTCTGATAGAGCCCTTCTTCCCAATGAAGCTCACACTTCCTTCCTCGCAGCACTGTGAGGATCAGACAAGGCAAGGCGAAGGCCCAGGGAACTCCGAAGTCCTTCCGTCTGAGTCCCTGCCCTGCTGCAGGGTCTCCAGTTTCAGGGAAGAGAGGACAAGTCCAGGGACGAGCTAGGAAAAGCTGCAGGCATCCCAGCTGAGTAGGTCAGCAAAGCAGTGGCCTTCTGGAGGAGCCTCAGTTTTCTCAGCTTTAAGATTGGGATTAAATTGTCCCTCCATGTTTCCTTGAGTTGTTGGGAGGTCAGGGAAAAAGGGAAGCCCCCAGATGTGTGTATCAAAGTACATGGAAACCCGAGTGCCATTCAGACGTTCCCGGGTGGCTTGGGTTAATGTGCAGGTGGGAAGCTTTCCCTGCAAACTGCTGGAGGGAACTGTCAGTGCTCTGAGGCCTGTTCTCCCCGCCTCCCCCTGCCTGCTGGCTCTGGCTAGACTGCCGAGTCAGCAGTCAGCCATCTCCCTGCCTCCTCCGGGAACTCTCACATAGTTTTGGTCCAGCCGAATCGGGTTTAACCACAGTGCAGGCCCCCACATGCACACACGTGCGTGCGTGCCCCGCGCAGGGAGGAAAACAGTGCTGGCCCAGCCCTCCACCTCGCCCGGCACGTTTGTAGGCGTGCTTCTACTTATCCCCGCTTCCTCAGACAGCATGCTGTACCTGTTTTCAAGAACACACTGCGTAAGTCCCCTACACACGAACCTTCAAGATGCGAACTTTCAAAGATGTGAACGTGTATTCTCATGTTTCACCTCATAAATGAGTTCACGTGTCTGGCATGCCTTGTCACGTGCGCGTGTCCTCTGCAAGTGGTTGACTTTTGTGTACTTTTCAGAGTACAGTATCTTTATTTGAACCCCAGGATGTCCATAAGCAGGGCTTCCCTGGTGATGCTACTGGTAAAGAACCAGCCTGCCAATGCAAGAGACATAAGAGACTTGGGTTTGACCCCTGGGTCAGGAAGATGCCCTGGAGGAGGGCATGGCAACCCACTCCAGTATTCTTGCCTGGAAAATCCCATGGACAGAGGAATCTTGCAGGCTATGGTCCATGGGTTGCACAGAGTATGACATGACTGAAGCGATTTAGCATATACACGTCCGAAAGCAAGTGTAAAAGCAGCGGTGATGTACCTGGTATTGAAAGTACTTAACAATGTACTTTCTTACTGTACTAGTGACTTTTCAAGGTATTGTAAGATTAAAAATAATTTTCTTTGTGTGTGTGTGTGTGTGTGTTTTATGTACTATTTGTGTGAAAAATATCATAAACCAAAAAAAAAATCATAAACCTATCACAGTACAGTACTATATAACTGATTGTGTTAGCTGGATACCTGGGCTAACTCTGTTAGACTTAGGAACATGTTGGACTTTCGAATGCTCTTTCGGAACTTGTTTGTATATAGGGGACTTACTGTACTTTCTTAGAACCGAAATGCTAAAATGCTACCCTTTTGACATCTGCCTATCATTTTAGGGTGAGTAGTAGGTCTTATTTCTTACAACACATTATTTTTTTAACTGTATTTTATTTTTAACATTTTTACTGATTTATTTTTGGCTGCTCTGTGTCTTGATTGCTACGTAAGGGCTTCTCCTTGAGGTGGCTTCTCATCGTGGAGCTCAGGCTGTTGACGCATGGGCTTTAGCAGTTATGATGCATGGGCTTAGTTGCTCCATGGCGTGTGGAATCTTCCCAGACCAGGGATCGAACCCATATCTCCTGCTTTGGCAGGTGGCTTCTTAACCACTGGGCCTCCAGGGAAGTGCACAACATATAATTTTTTAATCTGGGGCTTTCCTTTCCTATGGGAATAGCAACATCTGTTCAAAATCATGCATGTAATGGGATAAGCAGGGGCTTGCTGTCTTGGGGAGATGGAGCCCCTTGGAGTTTCAGGTCCCCGAGCCCTGCGTTTCACGGAGTAGTGCATGCATGACAGCCGTGAATAAAGGGCACTGCTGGTTTTGTAAGCAGATGAAGAGGTAGGTGTGAAGGAAGAGGAAGTACAGTTGTTCCTGGGCTGAACTGTGAAAACCCTTTCCTTCCCTGTGGGCAGCATAAACAGAATGGTCTCTTTTACTTGACTAGAATGGCTCTTGTGCAGTCAGACCAACAAAAGTGTTTGTGGATCAGGGTCATTTATTGTTTGCTGGAGAAAATTCAGGGTAACCAGATCAGGTGACCTGTTTCTGCAGCCCATATGCTGGGATATGAAAATAGCACTGCTATGTGGGGCCCTAATTTTCCCCTTCCATTTTGCTGTTACTTCTATTACTCAACGATGGGAAGGCTGGGCACTCAGTTACAGGAGATGCTGTGGAGAAGATCCAGCCCTGAAGGTGAGATGGGCAGCCTTTAAGATTCCTGCCAATCCTGATCACCCAATTTTAATTTTACCAACAGTCTAAACTGTTATACATTGAGACAGTATAATCTGGTTTTTAGAAACCTTCAGATGAAGACAACGATTAAGATGACTTGAGAATCCAAATGGTCATTCTCTGAACAGCTGATTTAGAAATCTTGGCATTGAATCAGTTACTAATATGCTCAGTGCTATGATCTTAAGCTCATATCATGAAAAACCTAAATGCACACTACACATTTTAAAAATGGTGTCACAGGGCCTGATGTGTAACTTGAGAGACCTAGATGTTTAGCATAGGCCCTTGGCTACTCTTGGAGATTTTTCTGTCCAAAACCAGGCTGAGAAGAAAGTCCTCTGGGAAGAAATAATCAATATGTGCTCAATGAAGTAAGGTGTTTTTCTTTCTTTTTACTTTTCCTGGAGAAGGCACCCAGAAGAAAATAAAGGTTGAGAACCAGGTAGCATTTGGGCAGTGAGGACAAAGTATAACAACTTGCTTCTTTCTGCCAAGCAAGGTTCAGATGGTGAGGACCACAGACATATTTGCGTATAATCATCAGGATGCTGTGGACGCATGAGACATCTCTCAACAGAGATCATCCCTGGGCAAGGATTGCTGAAAAATGAATTGTTTGGGACCAATGAATTATCCTAGTCTCCACTGAATTCCATTAGGCAATAAAAGATGTGCTGTGCTGCCGCAGTTTTGACCTTTACATGAGCTTAGAGTGTCACATGGAAGGAAGACATTAAGTGAAAACTTTACAGATTTAAAAGAAAATAATAGCAACACTGATAACCAATTAGCAATATTCGAAATATTAGGCAAAGATCTAAAAACTCAAATCATTGCTCTGTGCAGTGGTTACCCAGGGGAGATCATAAAATAGAAAGCTGAGGTTTAGTGGGGAATCTCAGCAGAGGAGTGACACCCCTCCAAACAATTTGGTCCCCAAATTGTTCATTAGAGAAGCAGCAGTCTTCCACGCTGTGGCATATGGAAGTCTTACTCCAAGCCTCACCCTCTTTAATGACAAAAGCAAACAGAAAAACAAAACCCCCACCCCCACCCCCCAGAAAAACCCTTTGGTTGTGTAATGAGTCAGTTTGACTGTGACCTCTGTCCTGCGAGTGCTTCTCGGTGACATCATAGCTTGTTGCCACGGGAAGCTAAAGAGAGCAACCATTGTGCGTGAGGGCGTGCGCGCACACACGTGGATGTGCTGAGACGAGGGGTTGTCTGGCAACAGTCACATGTCAAATGGCAATTTGCAGCTTAGAACCTCAGAGAGGGTTTGTTTTCTTCTTCTGTCTGTTCCAGTTACTAAACTGATGGCAGATGTCCTCATTAAGAGCTATTAGCACATCAGAAGATGTTTGCTGAGCTTAGAAAAGGGCTCACCCCTTTTGGACATGGACCAAAATACATCTTCTCCGGTAGCCAACCGCGCCCTGGCGGGGACAGTGGAGGGGGTGAAAAGCAAAGAGAAGCGGGTTCTCTTAAACCTCTACATCAGCCAGGAAGTCTTTTTTAGCATGAGTTTATGTTTTAGTCAAGGACTTCCATAACTCAAGAATGTAACATCGTAAAGTTGGATTTGCCTACTTGTCGAAACACTGTTATTGTTACCCTGAAATAGATGTTTCTTGATTTCTCTTTATGATACCAGAACCCTGTGGCAAATTAGGGACTGACTGGCTTGTATGGACTGTTTATAGTGCTGAAGAAAGAACTAATAGGGAAGTGAGTAGAAAGTAGAGATCAGGGAAGGCAGATTTGAAGGAGGCTGTGGTTATATTGATAGAAACATACTGGGGTAGAGTTGGGACCCTTAGTCTAAGGTATAAAGTGACAAGCAGTCCTGGAAAGTCCCTGGCAAATTCCATATTAACCTGGCACCTCTGCCTGGCCGCGTGGCAGACCTTTGTGCGTGTGTGCGTGCTAAGTCACTTCAGCCATATCCGACTCTTGGACCGTAGCCCGCCAGGCTCCTCTGTCCATGGGATTCTCCAGGCAAGATTTCTCCAGAATGGGTTGCCATGCCCTCCTTCGGGGGATCTTCCCAACCCTAGGGATCAGACATGTGTCTCTTACTCTCCTGTGTTGGCAGATGGGTTCTTTACCACTAATGCCTCCTGGGAAGCCTGGCACACCTCTGTAGGTGTTTGAGTTCACTTCTCAATTCCTGAAGGACTTGGGGGATGGTCTTATCTCCCGAGCCGTGTTGTGATTCAGTGCTGGTCAACACACCTGGCCATCCCACCCAGCCTACATTTTTTCACTTCCATGCTATCAATCCCCAGTGTAAATTTGGCTAAAATTTTCTTTAACTTTTGGGATTGATTCCATATCTCTCTGCGCCCTCATGAGGGCAATATGTGTATAAAGTTCTTCCCAAACCACTAAATGATCAACAATAATCTGGACTGTTAAACAAGATCAGAGGAAAGCATTGACCTTTATCTTGTAGGTAGGAAGCTAAGGTGCAAGTGGAAAAGGGATTTTCAAGAAAAGAAAAAAGCACAGGAGATGGATGCAGAAACTTGCAGGATTGGGAGCTGGATTTATTTTGGTTTTGCTTTATTTTATTCCTATTGAGGTTCACTGACATAGGGAAAAAAATACCATGTAGGTCAGAAGCAACTTGAGTGTTTTCTTTTGAGAGCTCTCATACCTCCTGGACTAATGGCAGTACCATGCCCTTTGACACCAACAAGGCAAGAGTTCGGTCTCTTGGGACTGCCTTTCATAGATGTGTTGCCTTGGCAACCTAAGCTGGCAGTGGCTCAGTTTCCTCATCAGAGATAAAAGACCATATGTTTGTCTTAAGTTGTTCTGAGGATTAAATTAGATACAGTTTGTGAAAGTTCATACTATTGGGCATTTAATAAAGGCAGTTTCCCTTCCTTCTTTCTCTTCTGCTTTTAAAAATTAAGATTTGAGTGCACTATAAATAAAGCAAATCATAAAGTGTATTTCAGGGTGGAATTCAGGCCACTCAAAGGAGAAAGGCCAGAGAACGCATGTGGAAAGAAGCCGGAAGTGGGCATGTTCACCAGCTGTGCAAATCCAGCAGGCTTTGGAAGGTGTAGCTTCACAAACCAAATAAAAAGTGTCCTTTACATTAAAAAAAAAAAAAGAAAAAAAACCATCATCAGAGACTGTTAGCCAAATATTTCAGGCTCTGTCTGAACACTGGAAACCCAGGAATTTTGGAAATACTACCCTTTCTTCATGTTCAGTGGTAGAAACCTCAAACTTCCTGCTGTGGAAAGTGGGGGTGGCCACTGTGTTTTTTGTGTGTTTTTTTTGGTCACGAGCAGGGTTATTTCTTTCCCTGGGTGGTTGCTGCCATCTGACGTCTCTAAGTGGCACTGTGGATTTGCTTACAGCTCAGCGACGTTAAACAGCGGGTTATGGGCATCCTTGGGGGCTCAGTGACAGTAAATCTGCCGACCAGTGGAGGAGGCTTGGGTTCCATCCCTGGGCCGGGAAGACCCCCTGGAGAAGGGAGTGGCAACCCACTCTAGTATTCTTGCCTAGGAAATCCCGTGGACAGAGGAGCCTGATAGACTACTGTCCATGGGGTCACACAGATTCCGACACAGCCGAGTGACTAACTCTGAGTGTGTGTGTGTGTGTGTGCACACGCGTGTGCGTGCACCTGAGTGCTCAGTCACTCCATCATGTCTGACTCTGCAACCCATGGACTGTAGCCTGCCAGACTCCTTTGTCCATGGATTCTTCAGGCAAGTACACTGGAGTGGGTTGCCATTCACTTCTCCAGGGGAGCTTCCCCATCCAGGGATCCAGCCTGTGTCTCTTGCATTGGCAGGCAGGTTCTTTACCACTAGCACCACCTAGGAAGTGCTTAAAGTGAGAGTTAGAGGTTCTTGTTTCTGGCTTGATGCATGAAGATGACAGTAGGTGACTGAGTGGACCCTTTTTTTTTTTCATAGTGGTGAAGAATTTACTCTTTATGTTTTTCTTCCTTTTGATGACATGCATAGCAAAGCTTTCCAATAGAGTGTTACTGAATATAAAATCACTAGATACCTAGAGAAGAATTCTGTGGCGTGGTCTGATTTTGACCTTTTTCTTACCTCTTCTTTGCTTTCTAGGGAATTCATGATGGAGATACAATACTCCCTGATTCTAGCCTGTGAAGCTCTGAGTAAAACATTTATAAAAATGTGCCAAACCCTTCTCCTCCATATTTGCAACTGTATTATTAGCAGACAGGCTGTGGAGACTGGGTGGGATTTCCTAAGAGCAACCTTGTTGACTATTTTGATTCTCAGAGGCCCTGGAAGATTGACTTCCTCTTTTCTGGAATGGTGTGGGCACCTAAAGGTCAAGGGGTTCCCCCTCAATCACCCCCGCCCTGGGGCTTATAGAGTGCCAGGTGGTTAGAACCCACCTCTCAGGCATTAGGATTTTGACCAAAGGAGCATCACACCAAGCATCTGGTCCTGTCATCTTTCTATCTCTTCCCCCATAAAATGCAGAGGACAGGGCTGCCCAGCGCTTTGCTTTCTGGGGTATGATATGCGAAGGGTGCGCTGACACCTCTGAGCAGGCAGAAATGATATGTATGGTTTGTGGAGCAGCTCCTGCCCATCATGGGGTGACCCTGCAGAGGCCTGGAGTGGTCTTCCTTGGGTCCATGTCAGGCCTGTGGTCCTGCATTTCTATCAGCACTGAATTCACAAGCGGCCCGAGCTGTAGGAGGCAATGTACAGGCCACTGGGAGGCAGTGAGGAGATCTGGGTTTGGAGTCAGGACAGCAGATCCCATTTATCTGACACCAACAACGTTTATCGCCATGAATAAGTCTCTTAAGCTCCCAGGGTTAGTTTCCTTGCGTGTAAAACAAGGAGAGTTACTGTGGCTCATTTCTGTGCCTGTCTGCAGCTTTGAAGCCAGCTCTGTGTGGGATTCTGTATCTGACAGACACCCTCCTCTCTAACTTAGTAGTTGTTCAGTCGCTAAGTCATGTCCGACTCTGTGACTCCATGGACTGTAGACCTCCAGGCCCCTCTGTCCATGGGGATTCTCCAGGCAAGAATACTGGAGTGGGTTGCCATTTCCTTCTCCAGGGAATCTTTCCAGATCAGGGATCAAACCCGTGTCTCCTGCGTTGGCAGATGGATTTTTTACTGCTAGCCACTTGGGGAGGCCCCTGCCCTGACTTTGCGCTATCTTAATAGGATCCTGACCTGGAAAGTGATCCTTGGTGTGTATGCTGAGGTGCCGTTAAGATGCTCTCTGTGGGCAGAGAAGTTTCAGTAACACAACCCAAGGGTACAGCCATCAGGCACAATGATAAGGGATTTGTTAAATTAGCAGTGATGCAGCAGCCTAAGAAAACACAGCCGTGTCTCCCAGAAGAGTTTTTGTAGAATAACATTTAATGATACAGTACAGCCGACACAGGGTAAGTGAAAATTCCCTGTTTACCAAGCCATGATGCTGTTTTTTTAGAAATGCAAGTATGTAAACCGTTGTGTAGAAGAAAGCCTGGAACACTGTCCAGGAAATGGGTGTTTCTCTGGGAAGTCTCTTCTTGGGTGATTTGTTTTTCTGCTTATCAGGATGTTCTCAATGTCCTCCTCATAACAGGTGTTTAGCTTTTGTAGAAAGAAAACCGTTGTAAAAATTACTTTAAAATAACTCATCGTTTTTCATGGACACTCATGGGCTCTGGCTGTGTGGGGGGCATCTTCCTGATTCCCCAGATACCAGATAAAGGACCCTGTGCCTCCTCTGTCTCCCCAGGATTGGCAACAGCATGGCCAGCGTCCTGTCCCGGCGCCTCGGCAAGCGGTCCCTTCTGGGAGCCCGGGTGTTGGGACCACCTGGGGCTGCCCCGCCCTCGGAGCCTCAGGCAGAGCTGCTGGAGGGGGCGGCTCCCCAGCCCTTTGTTGCCTCCAAGGATGCGTCCTGCCAGGAGCAGCCTAAGGAAGTCCTCAAGGCTCCGGGCACCTCGGGCCTCCAGCAGGTGGCCTTTCACCCCGGGCAGAAGGTAGGTTGATCCTCAGGTACACAAGTGTCCGCCGTCCCCATGCTGGGGTTCAGCAGCCCAGTAGTGTCCCGAATGACAGGCTAGAAGCTCAATGGGCACTGACTGGAGTGCAGACCTTTTCCCTGCAGCCATCTGAGCCCTTGGGCAGCAGGCTTCCCAAGAGAATGAGCCATTCTTAGCAGATCCAGGGCTCCTGCATGACAGTTCTGGGCTCAAGCCTGCTCAGGACCTCAGTGCAAAGCATGGCCAGAGCCCAGTTTCTCTTAATCTGCCCCAGTTTACAACTTTACAAAAATAAGGGGGAGGGGCTCAGATTTATGGGAAAAAATTGCATCCCACAGTCATGTATGGATGTGAGAGTTGGACCATAAAGAAGGCTGAGCGCCGAAGAATTGAAAAGAATTCAAAATTGTGTTGGAGAAGACTCTTGAGAGTCCCTTGACCTGCAAGGAGATTGAATCAGTCAATCCTAAAGGAATTCAACCCTGAATACTCATTGGAAGGACTGATGCTGAAGCTGAATTTCTAATACTTTGGCCATCTGATGCGAAGAGCCAACTCACTGGAAAAGACCCTGATGTTGGGAAAGACGGAGGGCAGGAGGAGAAAGGGACGACAGAGGATGAGATGGTTGGATGGCATCACCAACTCAATGGACATGAGTTTGAGCAAACTCTCGGAGATGGTGAAGGACAGGGATGTCCATGGGGTTGTGATGAGTTGGATACAATATAGCAACTGAACAACAACAACAAAGATTGCCGCATTGAATTACCTTGAGATGTTTCAAGAGACAAAGGTGTCTGTTTAGTTGGAATGCCATTTGGATTCTCTTTTCCAGTGTCTGCTCCTCTGTGTTATCACTAGATCTTTTTGGCCTCATATCATCGCTCGATCCAGATGAGTGGGCTTCTCTTTCATTGCCTTCCGAAGATCTGATAATAGAGGCTGTACCTTCTGCCTCTATTTTAAGACTTGTGTGGTCTAGACCTCTTTTCCCATGAGGTGGGGGACCTGCCAACTGCTAGGCACCTCTGAAAGCAGTCAGTCTGCATTTTCATCAGTACCTTCTTGCTTCCAGGTAGACTCAGGATTTTCTGAAGGGGAAAATGCAGGGTGTGAGCAATTCAAGGCAATAGTTGGGAACTAGCAGATACATAGGACTTTAGAGGCCAGTCAGGTTAAGAACTCAAGAGGATGGATACAGTTTCCAAATTCATTTGATTTGAAAATTTAATCCATTTACATTTAAAGTAATTAGTGATAGGTAAGGACTTGGTGTTGCTATCATGTTAATTTTTTTCCTGTTTTGTAATTCCTTTGTTCCTTTCTTCTTCTCTTGCTGTCTTCCTTTTTGAATATTTTTTGGTAGTCCTGTGCTTTGATTTCTTTATCTTTTGTATGTCTACAAGAGTTTTTTCTTTGTGGTTACCATGAAGCTTACAGAAAACATAAGTGTATTTTAAGATGATAGCAACTTTAGTTGTATATAGACTCCACTTTTAAAAAAAGAAGTTTCAGAAATTGATACTTTTGCGCTCTCCATCTAAAGAATTTATAACGATTTGTTTCAGTAAAACAAATCCACTTTGGCTGGTCCGGATGTTCAGGTAGGAAGCAAATACCCAGGAGCATATGTGTGAACTAAAGATGAGTCAGAGAATGCAGTTTGTGGCAGATAGCTCCTGGGTCCCAGAACCTAGAACACATGGAATGAGAACTCCCAAGTGCTGACCACTGGTTGCTGTCTTTCTCTCTCCAGGTTTGTGTGTGGTACGGGGGTCAAGAGTGCACAGGACTGGTGGAGCGGCATAACTGGGCAGAGGATAAGGTGACTGTCTGGCTGTTGGACCAGAAGTTACAGATCTGCTGCAAAGCGGAGGAGGTGTGGTTGGCCGAGCCGCCGGGCCGCATCCCCCAGGTGCCACCTCCAGAGCAGGGAACCCAGGCGCCAGCCTACAGGCCTGTGTCCAGGAACATTGATGTCCCAAAGAGGTTTGTGTGGGAGAACCTTGGCTCTGAAAGATATGTGGGTGTTGAGGTAGGGGCTTTGGGATGCCTTGTGTTGAGGAAGGAATGTAGTGCTCCACATGTCTGTCTACTGGTGAAGATACCAGTCGGATGAGATACAGTGAGAGGGCATCCTTTTGGAAAAAAACCTAGAAGGGCACCTTTTCTTCCCCGTAACTCTGTCTGTTATTGTTGTTTTAGTCGCTCAGTCCTGTCTGATTATTTTGCGATTCCATGGACTGTAGCCCACCAGGCTCCTCTGTCTATGGGATTCTCTGGGCAAGAATACTGGAGTGGGTTGCAATTTCCCTTTGGATCTTCCCAACCCAGGGATCGAACTTGAGTCTCCTGCATTAGCAGGTAGATTCTCTACCGCTGAGCCACCAGGGAAGCCCTGGTAACTCTGTTAAGAGTGAAATATATAACTTCATCTGGCTGAGGGCTATTTTTTCCCTTTCCTGCTTAAACTAAAATTAGTTCTTAGTTTTTCATGATGAGATAGCAAAAAGTGGCTTAGATCAGGAGGCAGCAAACATATCCAGAATGGGCCAGATAGTAAATATTATGTAGGCTTTGTGGGACACAGGGTCTCTGTCACAGCTACTCTGCTTGGCTGTGAACTTGAGAAATCAGCTGCAGACAGAACTTAAACAGGCAAGCATGTTGGGCTCCAATAAAACTTCACTTGTGGACACTAAGTTTTCAATTTCATGTGATTTTCATGCGTCATATGTCAAGAAATAATATCCTCCTTTTGATTTGTAAAACCACTTAAAAATTGTTAACCTAGGGACTTCCCTGGTGGTTCAGTGGTTCAGAACCCAACCTGACAATGCAAGGAACACAGGTTCGATCCCTGGTCTGGGAGGATGCCACAGTAAAGCCTGGGAGCTAGAGCTGCTGAGCCTGAGTGCCCTGGGGCCCTCGCTCTGTAACCAGAGAAGTCACCGCAGTGAGAAGCCTGCACCCTGCAAACCAGAGTAGCCCTGAGCTTGCTGTAACTTAGAGAAAGCCCACACACAGCGAGGAAGGTCCAGCACAGCCAGAAACAGATACATAAGTAAACTTTTTAAAAGTTATGTCATTCTTAGCTTTCAAACCAGGCAAAAACAGACAGTAGGCTCAGTCAAGAGATTACAGAGCCCCAGCTAGATATTTCAAACCATTGATTTTGAATGAAAAATGTTTACTTTGCTTTAGAAGTTTTAAAAAATTGTTTTAATTTTTTTGTCCCACTGCACAGTATGTGGGATCTTAGTTCCCCAATCAGGGACCCTGTCCCCTGCACTGGATGTGTGGAGTCTTAACCACTGGACTATTAGGAAAGTCCCTGTTTCAGAATTTTATGACATGAATTTTTCCTCTGAGAATACAAACTGTATTGTGTTAGTTGCTCAGTCATGTACAACTCTGTGACCCCTTGGACTGTAGCCCACCAGGCTCCTCTGTCCATGGGGATTCTCCATGGAATCCTACCCTAGAATACTAGGGTAGGTAGCCATTCCCTTCTCCAGCAAATCTTTCCAACCCAGGGATTGAACCTGTGTTTCCTACACTGCAGACAGATTCTTTACTGTCTGAGCCCCCAGGGAAGCTCTATATTATATACTCAATGCACATTGATCTTTTAAGATTAAAAAAGAAAATTTGCTAGTGAGATTCTTCTATGCTGTGCTATGCCTGGTCATTCAGTTGTGTCTGACTCTGTGACTCTGTGGAGTGTAGCCTGCCAAACTCCTTTGTCCATGGGATTCTCCAGGCAAGAATACTGGAGTGGCTTGCCATGCCCTCCTCCAGGGGATCTTCCCAACCCAGGGGTCGAACCCAGGTCTCCCATATTACAGGGGGATTCTTTAGCGTCTGAGCTACCAGGGAAGCCCTAGAATTCTGAAGTGGGTAGAGAATTCCTTCTCCAGGGGAGCTTCCTGACCCAGGAATCGGACTGAGGTTTCCTGCATTGCAGGCGGATTCTTTACCAGCTGAGCTACTAGGGAAGCCCTGAGATTCTTCAATACAGATGTGTAAGCAGCTGAACTCCCCACCCCCACAATCTGTGTGTGTCTGTGCATGTTACTGTTATTGACAGTACATTCTGTGTCTTGAGACCAGACCAGAGCAATAAATAACATTTGTGATTGTGAATTCAGTGGAACACTGGCAAAGAATTTATCTTTCATTCTATAGAAATAAAAATACAAAAAATCATTCAAAAAGGGGGCTGCTGACATGTCTAATACATTACTAGTCTCGGTTTAGCTGCTTCATGTCATATAATTTAGTGGATCTGAATTGTAAAGAATAAATTGTATAATACAGTCCTTTGAAATAGAAGTGCCTCCTGGAAATTTATTTCAGACTGACTTTTCATACTTTAGCATTACCTTGTTGATGGCTTTCATTTTATTTTCAAATAGTATAACTTTATATGGATTAAGAAAATTGTGTGTAAAATGTCATAGATCTCTGCTGTATAAAGCATTGAGATTTGTTGGGAGATTTATTTTAGTATTTCTGGAGATTGTTTGCTCATTGGCTTATGTGGCCAGATTCTGTTGACATTTAGAAGCTATCATATCTCATCACTAATATTGAGGGGTGGGGAAGGGAGCTTGTGAGTGGAATTGTTCTCCCTTAAATCTAAATATAGAGACTTCCTGGTGGTCCAGTGGCTAGGACTCTGTGTTCCTAATTCAGGGGGCCTGAGTTTGATCCCTGGTCAGGGAACTAGATCCCGAGTGCTGCGGCTAAGGTTGAAGATACTGTGTGCTGCAGCTAAGATTCAGCACAGTCACATACATTAAATAAGCAAATAAATACTTAAAAGTTTAAATATAAAGCTAGAAAAGGAAAGTAATTGTAGTGCTTTTGAATTCTAGCCAGGTGTCTTTTATGCCCTTGCTTTATTTCATTGCTTGGGCATGTCCTCCTTTCCCTCAAATAAAATTCCTGATTTTAAACTGTAGGGTGAGAGTTAGAAAGTGAATTCCACGGAGAATGGAGCTGCCTCTGGGTGTCAGCAGTGGGATGGGGCCCAGCCTGCTTTCCCTGGGGTTGACTGGTATTATCAATGACACTCAGAACTGAGTACTTTTCATGAAGAATGAGGAGAGATCTGAATGCTTTATTTAACTCCATTACTTGAGCACACACCGACTGATCGGAGTAGGGGCCTAGAAGGGACATTCCAGGAATGTAAGATGCTCACATGACCTGCTGTGTCGGGAAGTAACCTCTGACTCTCACCCATCTGAATCCAGGAAGTCGGATGCAGTGGAAATGGACGAGATGATGGCGGCCATGGTGCTCACGTCCCTGTCCTGCAGCCCGGTCGTACAGAGTCCTCCCGGGGGCGAGGCCAACTTTTCTGGTGAGGAGCAGGGCCAGATGGGTTCTGGGTGCGGCCGAGGCTTCCATTCTTTCTCCTCAGTTTCCTCCTCTGGGAAGAAGCTTCCTGCTGCATTGTGACGATGGTTGAGCGCGAGACTGACCCTCACTGGCCACCTGAGTAAGTTCTTCCATGGGAGTAAGCGAGCAAGGCACTCAGGCTGGACGAGGTCAGCAGAGGAACGTTTAGTTGTAAATGATCCCCTCGTGGGCTCGGCCGACTCTCGGCCCCCTTCCAAGTGCCTCATTCAGCCTCAAAAATTAGTGTGGAAGAAACGATCTGAAGTCTGAAATAAATCTTATTGCTTAGTGCAAACCAATAGAAAGACTTCATAACAAATGTATACATTAAAAGAAAATGCTAGCACAACCCCCCAAATACATTATGAGTGATATGGGAGGAAGGTGGGTTGCTGGATATTAGTAGTTTGACAAGATTTATAGTGAATCTGAACTTTTTTTTTTTTTTGCAATTTGTTATCTGGCTGGCCTAACTTACTCCCAGGGAATAACTTTTTCGTTGGTGAGATCTAACTGTATCATGAGCTTCCTAAAAGCTTACAGGGAAATAATGGAGTCAGTTTTGACCGTATCAGGTGGAAAGTGGCCTTTACAAAGCATCCCTCATAAGTAATCTCCCCACTTAGAAAATAAATTTAAGGAAGTGATAAGATTTACTTATTTCACCCAAGGCTTGTCATCAATGGCTAGACTGCTACAAGAAGCTGTTGCAGTCTGATGACGCCTGTTGAGGGGCAGAGCATCACACTCCTGTTCCGTGAACACCTGGGGCCCACACCAGCAACACAGGAGGAGAGGAGTCAATTAAAAATTTTTCATTTATTTGGTCGTACTGAGTTTTAGCTGTGGCATGGGAACTCTTGGTTCTGGCATGAGGAATCTAGTTCCCTGACCAGAAATTGAATCTCAGCCCCTTGCATTGGGAACTCAGAGTCTTAGCTACTAGACCTCCAGGGAAGTCCCACAGTTTTAAATTCTCAGGAAACTCTACAAGTTTAGGAGATTGAGGAGGTTGGTCAACAGGAACAAGATCCAGGAAAATATCATAAAGGGAAAGAAAATCGTTGACTGAAATTCCCCTCAGGTTGTAAGTGTGTGTGTGTGTGTGTTTGTATAATCCATTCATATATGTTCACACACACACCCCAACGCTAGCATATACTCATCTAACTGATAAGATGCTGTGACATCTTAAGTTCCCTTTGATAAACATTTTTTTATTGTCTGTTAAAGGTTTTTCCCATAACAACATATTTCTGATCTTCCATTGAAGTAAGTGGGAAGATAAGGCCCCCTTGGCAGCTAATTATGTTGACATAGTCTGGAAGGTGAGGTCTCTGCAACAACCAGAACCTTGCTCTGATCATGGTTGCTTTTTGCAGAATCCACCCATTCCTCTTGGTGTTGTTAGGATGATTCTGCGTGTGCCTGTGGAGAGCAGAGGGCATTACAAGGATTTCTTAGAAGTTCACGGCGCATTGGCCAGGGAACACTTTTGTTTTCCTGGTACAGAATCTCTGTTGATCCTGCCCTAAAAAACTGTATGATCTAAGGTGGAGTGATTTATGTTTCTCTTATAAGATATATGCGGCTTCCGTAGTGGCTCAGATGGTAAAGAATCTGCCTGCAATGCAGGAGACCTGAGTTCGACCCCTGGGTCAAGAAAGGGCAACCCACTCCAGGGTTCTTGCCTGGAGAAGCCCATGGACAGAGGAGCCTGGTGGGCTACAGTCCATGGGGTTGCAAAGAGTCGGACGTGACTGAGCGACTGACATTTTGTTTCGCTTGTAAGATACAGGTTAATTTATGAGTTTCACTTTTTAGCTTTGTCTTCTATTTGTCCTTATGTGCCAGTTTGCCTGTGTTGGCACTGAGCCGCTTGAGTGATTCCTCCCTGGAAGACTGCTGCGTTGTGGGGCAGGCCTGCTGTTTGGCCTGTTCTCTTCTGTTCTGCCGCGAGATGTAGCATTCTTCCCCTTCGCCCATCTCCCCCTGATGCATGTCCTTGCTGGACCTGTGAGCATCCTTGGCGGCTCCTGCTTTCTTTCCTGAAGGGCTGCCCTGTTTTTAGCCTCATGTGTAGATGTCATAAACTCTCAGTTTCCAGGAGGTCATAGCTTTGAGACTGGACAGTGATGCTCTGAGAGGGCAGAGTTCATTTGGCCCGTTCTGTTTGGACAGGCTTCTCCTAGCATCTGAGACTTAAATAAGGAGAGCCTGCATTGGAAACATGGAATGCTGGGTGTCTAGGTTAGCCTGAAGGTGGTTTGGGATATGGAATAGGAAGAGAGGAAAGCAGTGGGATGTTTGTCCTGGCCACAGGGGATGTGGTAGATGGTCTCAGAATGCAGGGTAAGGAGGCCTTGTGGACCACTGCCCATGTGGAAGTCTGGGCTTGGGGACAAGGCTACCATATCTGAATGCATCACAGGTTTTTCCCCTTTTCTTGCTATTTCTGTGTATCAAAATTTCAGGTTCTCCTCTAGTACAAATTGGGCATCTCTATTGGTTCAGTGATAAAGAATCCACCTGCCAATGCCCACTAGCCAATGCAGGAGNGAACTGAACTGAACTGAATGCCTGTGACTGCCGATTTGTTATATCAGTGAATACTGAAACATCTCATCAGTAATATTCGGATAACAAAAGACATATTAATGGGTCTCTGGTCAATAAGTTGTCAGTACAGGTTTATGGCCTAGGCATGGAAGAATCTGGGTTGGGTTTAAGGCAACCCAAAGGGAGGCAGTTTAAAAACTGAAAATTAAAATAAATAAATAAAATAAAAACTGAAAATTTCACACGTCTGACTGTGATCTTCCTGTTCAGACGCGTTGCTGGGAGCAGGGCAGCGAGTTCAGGCCCTGTTGGGCATGCAGGCCTTCTGTCATCTCGTGATGAGTCTGAACTGTTCTTGGAGCTTGTCTTTCCTGCTCTAAACATGTTCCCTGTGGATAAAAGCAGGAGCCAGCTCTGGTAAAGGCTTCACCTCCCAATGGCTATGAGAGCTGGCTGAATGGTTGCTTTTCTCACGCAGGTTTTGATGTACTTGCCTGGGTTTAAATGATCAAAAGGCATCTTTTAAGAAAGCCTGGTTAAGAAGCCCTTCTCCTGGCCTCTGCATCCTACTCCACTGCCGGGAAAACTTCCCAAGTGGTACCCAGCCCGTTTGTCTGTGCGTGGGGGCGGGGTGGGGGCAGGAGAGGCTTTCCTCTCCCCTCTCTCTGCTCCCCACCGCCTTTAAAGTGAGAAGTACCTTTTGATTAGCTTATCGTTCCTTTAATAACACAGGTCTCCCCTGCTATCTGAAAGTAGAGCATTTCTGTGAAAACTTTGGAAAACTGAAATGGTATCAGGCAAAAAACAATTACCTTAGGACGCCTCTTGCTAACGGATGCACAAAATACGTTGTGATACAGCACAGATACTCACAGGTTCAGTTCAAATCTTTGGGGGCTGGGTGCTGAGATGCTGAGTGTGGTTCCTAGGAAGGGGCTTGGTGGGGCCACTCTCACTGTTTGGGGTGCCCTGCCTCCATAACAGCTTGCTGCAGAACCAGCATTGAATCCTGTTGTCACCTTTTTTCATAAAGTGAAAGTCATCTTTAGATTTCTTTCAGTTAGTGAAAACGGGTCCTGATGTAAGATTGTCACTCGGTATTCATGGGAGATTGGTTCTAGGACCCGTGTGGACACCCATATCCATGGATGCTCAAGTCCCTTGTGTAAAACAGCATTGTACTTGCATGTAAGCTATGCACATCCTCCTGCATATTGTCAGTCATCTCTAGGTTACTTAGAACACCTAATACAACATAAACGCTGTGTACAACGTTGTAAGTAGTTGGAAAGACATTGTAAATGCCTTTTAAATGTTGCTGTTTAAATGTTTAGTTGCTGTGTGGCCAATTCAAGTGTTGCTGTGGGGATCTTTCTGGAATTCTTTATCCTAAATATTTTCAGTGCAGAAACGGGATTTGGAGGGCTGACTACAGGTCTTGCATATGAAAGAAAAGGTATAAATTGAACTTCCAAAAACTGGGGGACACCTGCATACAAAATGCAGCTCCAGAGTGTGTCTGGCGGTCAGTGATGATCAGCACAGCTGTGGCAGGAATGGTCCGTGAGAACAGAGCAGTCTGCCACCCACAGACGGTGCTGCAATGAAGGGAGCCATTCCTCATTTTTACTGAAGCCCAGAAAGGGGAGGGGTTTGTTAGGGAAGGGGTACTTTGTTGGTTTTTGTTTTTCCCCCTTGGAGCACAAAGCCAGGCAAGCAGAACCCAGCATTAGATTCAGGAACCCAGCCTTTTTAAGAAAATAATTTTTATTTATTTACCTGTTTTTGGCTGTGCTGGGTCTTTGTTGCTGCTCAGGCTTTTCTCTAGTTGTGGCAGCTGGGGGCCACTCTGCAGTGAGCCAGCTTCTCTTGTTGCAGGGCACAGGCTCCAGGGTGCTCGGGCCTCAGTCATTACAGCTCCCAGGCTCTAGAGCACAGGCCTGTGGGGTCTTCCCGGACCAGGCATCAGACCCGTGTCTCCTGCATTGGCAGGTGGATTCTTTACCACTGAGCCACCAGGGAAGCCCAGGAACCCAGACTCTGAACTAGAGTGTCCTGCCCCCGACCTGGGCGGTCCGCGCGGCACCTGGCATGGGCAGAAGGGCAGGCGCAGAGCATCCTCTGTCTTCTCCTGTCCAGCTTCCCGCACGGCCTGCGACCCCTGGAAGGAGAGCGGCGACGTGTCGGACAGCGGCAGCAGCACCACCAGCGGGCACTGGAGCGGGAGCAGCGGCGTCTCCACCCCCTCGCCCCCCCACCCCCAGGCCAGCCCCAAGTACCTGGGGGACGCCTTTGGCTCTCCCCAGACGGATCACGGATTTGAGACCGACCCGGACGCTTTCCTGTTGGATGAACCAGCTCCCCGAAAAAGAAAGGTGCGTGGCCTGAGCTTCCAAGCTCAGCCACAGTGGGGCCAGACCTGGGTCCCGGGCCTTCTCAGGCTCCATCCTATTTCAGTGATCCATTTTTTGAATGTTAATTAGTTAGGCTGCACCAGATCGTGGTTGTAGCATGTGGGATCTAGTTCTCCAACCAGGGATCGAACCCTGGCCCCCTCTGCATTGGGAGCTCAGAGTCCCAGGCCCTGGGCCATCGTTTCAGCTCTCCTTTGCTGCTGCTCTTTCCTCTTGATATTTCCAGAAGCCCACCCCTCCTCTCCAGTGCCACATCACTGGCCTTCTCTCCTCTGCCCAACCCAGCTCTCCTGCAGAGACCTCCATCAGGTCTTCCCCTGCCCCCCAGCCCACCCGCATCTCCACTCTAGACCGATGCCAGCCCCCAGGACCAGCTCTCTGCCCCTGTTTGTCAGTCTCTCTGGTCTCTGGGAACCCCTTTACTCAATTGAGCCTTCTGCTGTGTCCTGTTGGATGTGACTGGGACCCCACTGGGTGTGGCTGGGAGGGGCTGAGTGGGGGGACGTGACCTCCTCATCCTGTGTTCCCTTCCTTCCAGAACTCGGTGAAGGTGATGTACAAGTGCCTGTGGCCCAGCTGTGGCAAAGTCCTGCGCTCCATCGTGGGCATCAAACGACACGTGAAAGCCCTCCACCTAGGGTAGGTGCGCGCGCAGAGCTCCTCTGCCTGAGGCGTTCTGCAGACGTCCTCCACCCGCTGATTCCCCGAGACCCACACCCCCAAATACTTCTGAGAAACTGGCTGGCTGAGGGCCCCACCCATCCCTGATCCTGGGCCCCGTGAACAGCCCCTTTGCTGGGATCTTTGCTGGGAAGCAGGCCCTCCTGCGGTGGTGGATGTGGATGCTGTTGATGGGTATGTCTTCTCACCCCGGAAGGAAGATGGTTCAGTTCTGGGCAGATAGAGGGTGGTTAGTTACTTAGCGCCTGTTGCTTCTCCTTGGGGAGCCGGGGCTCCCCTTGCACTGATACCCGAAGCCGGGGCTGCAGGTGGCCAAGGGGACTGACTCACAGTCCTTCCCCTGCCGGAGAGTGTAGCCTTGAGTGCGTGGGGTCCAGAGAGGACCAGAGCAAAGTGTGAAGCAGATCTGGCCAGAGGAGAAGCCTCCGGGGCTAGGGAAAATAATCCCCCTTGACGTGCCAGGGTGCAATCCCTGGGAGTCTGTGTCAGGACCTGGGCTCCCGCCTGTCCTCCTGGGTTTCTCCTGTGACTTGCCGCTGTCCCCTGCGTTTGGACCAGGGCAGCTTGTCCCTGGTTGTTACCGCATCTCCATCCCCTTCAGGGACACCGTGGACTCTGACCAGTTCAAGCGGGAGGAGGATTTCTACTACACAGAGGTGCAGATGAAGGGGGAAGCTGCTACGGCTGGTGGCCCCACAGCCGACCCGGCTCCGACCCCCAGCGTGACCAGCCCGCCCCTCACCATCCTGCCCCCACCGCCTCCTCCCAAAGCCCAGTCCTCAGGCCCAGATCACCCTGGCCTGGAGTCTTACCTGCCCTCCGGTGCTCTCAGCAAGTCAGCTCCTGGCTCCTTCTGGCACATTCAGGCCGACCATGCATACCAGGTATGGGGACCCCCCTGGGAGCTCAGCCTCGGGACCATGAGGGCATTCCGTGTCTGTCACTGATTCCCGGACCAGGCATCAGACCCGTGTCTCCTGCATTGGCAGGTGGATTCTTTACCACTGAGCCACCAGGGAAGCCCAGGAACCCAGACTCTGAACTAGAGTGTCCTGCCCCCGACCTGGGCGGTCCGCGCGGCACCTGGCATGGGCAGAAGGGCAGGCGCAGAGCATCCTCTGTCTCCTCCTGTCCAGCCTCCCGCACGGCCTGCGACCCCTGGAAGGAGAGCGGCGACGTGTCGGACAGCGGCAGCAGCACCACCAGCGGGCACTGGAGCGGGAGCAGTGGCGTCTCCACCCCCTCGCCCCCCCACCCCCAGGCCAGCCCCAAGTACCTGGGGGACGCCTTTGGCTCTCCCCAGACGGATCACGGATTTGAGACCGACCCGGACGCTTTCCTGTTGGATGAACCAGCTCCCCGAAAAAGAAAGGTGCGTGGCCTGAGCTTCCAAGCTCAGCCACAGTGGGGCCAGACCTGGGTCCCGGGCCTTCTCAGGCTCCATCCTATTTCAGTGATCCATTTTTTAAATGTTAATTAGTTAGGCTGCACCAGATCGTGGTTGTAGCATGTGGGATCTAGTTCTCCAACCAGGGATCGAACCCTGGCCCCCTCTGCATTGGGAGCTCAGAGTCCCAGGCCCTGGGCCATCGTTTCAGCTCTCCTTTGCTGCTGCTCTTTCCTCTTGATATTTCCAGAAGCCCACCCCTCCTCTCCAGTGCCACATCACTGGCCTTCTCTCCTCTGCCCAACCCAGCTCTCCTGCAGAGACCTCCATCAGGTCTTCCCCTGCCCCCCAGCCCACCCGCATCTCCACTCTAGACCGATGCCAGCCCCCAGGACCAGCTCTCTGCCCCTGTTTGTCAGTCTCTCTGGTCTCTGGGAACCCCTTTACTCAATTGAGCCTTCTGCTGTGTCCTGTTGGATGTGACTGGGACCCCACTGGGTGTGGCTGGGAGGGGCTGAGTGGGGGGACGTGACCTCCTCATCCTGTGTTCCCTTCCTTCCAGAACTCGGTGAAGGTGATGTACAAGTGCCTGTGGCCCAGCTGTGGCAAAGTCCTGCGCTCCATCGTGGGCATCAAACGACACGTGAAAGCCCTCCACCTAGGGTAGGTGCGCGCGCAGAGCTCCTCTGCCTGAGGCGTTCTGCAGACGTCCTCCACCCGCTGATTCCCCGAGACCCACACCCCCAAATACTTCTGAGAAACTGGCTGGCTGAGGGCCCCACCCATCCCTGATCCTGGGCCCCGTGAACAGCCCCTTTGCTGGGATCTTTGCTGGGAAGCAGGCCCTCCTGCGGTGGTGGATGTGGATGCTGTTGATGGGTATGTCTTCTCACCCCGGAAGGAAGATGGTTCAGTTCTGGGCAGATAGAGGGTGGTTAGTTACTTAGCGCCTGTTGCTTCTCCTTGGGGAGCCGGGGCTCCCCTTGCACTGATACCCGAAGCCGGGGCTGCAGGTGGCCAAGGGGACTGACTCACAGTCCTTCCCCTGCCGGAGAGTGTAGCCTTGAGTGCGTGGGGTCCAGAGAGGACCAGAGCAAAGTGTGAAGCAGATCTGGCCAGAGGAGAAGCCTCCGGGGCTAGGGAAAATAATCCCCCTTGACGTGCCAGGGTGCAATCCCTGGGAGTCTGTGTCAGGACCTGGGCTCCCGCCTGTCCTCCTGGGTTTCTCCTGTGACTTGCCGCTGTCCCCTGCGTTTGGACCAGGGCAGCTTGTCCCTGGTTGTTACCGCATCTCCATCCCCTTCAGGGACACCGTGGACTCTGACCAGTTCAAGCGGGAGGAGGATTTCTACTACACAGAGGTGCAGATGAAGGGGGAAGCTGCTGCGGCTGGTGGCCCCACAGCCGACCCGGCTCCGACCCCCAGCGTGACCAGCCCGCCCCTCACCATCCTGCCCCCACCGCCTCCTCCCAAAGCCCAGTCCTCAGGCCCAGATCACCCTGGCCTGGAGTCTTACCTGCCCTCCGGTGCTCTCAGCAAGTCAGCTCCTGGCTCCTTCTGGCACATTCAGGCCGACCATGCATACCAGGTATGGGGACCCCCCTGGGAGCTCAGCCTCGGGACCATGAGGGCATTCCGTGTCTGTCACTGATCAGCCTGATCACAGGCCACTGACCACCCTGATTGGAGGCTGAGTCCTCAGCTGAATTACCCATCTCTTCTATATGGAAAGTGACTTCACAGTCAGTAAACATAGGAATTCCAGAGTTGAACCTCGGTGACTGTCATGAGTGGTTACTGAATCTGGCTGAATCCAGTGGTTAAGAAATCTAGCTGAATCCCTGAGTAACCAGGTTGATGGATTTGGACGGGGGACTTGGTCCACCACTGGTTATAAGAGGGGATAGACTAGTGTAGTAGGGTTTCTGAGAGCAAATCTCCAATTCCCAGAATGGTACTACATTAAATAGTCTGGCACTCAGTTTTTTGAATACCTACTATGTGTCAAATTGCAGGATAAGCTTTGCGGATAGAATAAGATACATAATTCTTGAGCTTGTGAAGTGTACAGTTTAGCTGGAGAGAGAACTGAATGTGTGACTATGATTAATTATAATAAGTAGTTAAAATATCTTACTGGAGATACAACCCATCGTTGTGGGTACAGGAAGGACCAGGCTTCCCTGGTGGCTCAGTGGTAAAGAATCCACCTGCCAATGCAGGCGATTTGGGCTCAGTCCCTGGGCTGGGAAGATCCTCTGGAGAAGGAAGTGGCAACCGGCTCCAGTATTCTTACCTGGGAAATCCCATGGGCAGAGGAGCCTGGCAGGGTACAGTTCACGAGTCGGACACCAGTTAGTGACTAAACAACAATAGCCGTAAAGACCAAGGTAGTATTATGCCCATTGGGTTGGGAAAGCAGTCATGGAGCGGGTGGCATTTAGGGTGGTTTTTACTGCATGTAGTAGGTGCCGAAGACTCTGCTTGCCAGAGTCTTAAAGTTTTTCTTAAAATCCTTTGATGCCTACTGCTTGGTTTTTTCCGACTGTAGGCTGATTTGCAAGTTAGTAATTAAGAAGCAGTGCTTTCCGTCAGAAAGCCTTTAGAGAGCGAGCCAGCTCTCCTCTTCATTAGAACGTGTGGTCATGAGTGGTCGCTCGGCTGGCCCTCCAGGCCGCCAGCTGTCCCTGTGACGTGAGATCTGGAGAGGGCAGTTGGTGATTTTAGAAACAAACCTTGACCTGGACAGTTGCTGCTTCCACGCAGTTGCCCCAGGGGATGGCAGGCGCTGAGCGCGGGCCCTGTGCCCCCACTTACAAGGCTGGATTTCTGGGGGAGCTACCCTGAGTGTGCTCTTGGTAGGTGATCCCGCCAAGAAGTTAATCTGCGGAGATGATTAAGTCATGAGGCTGGCACGTAAACCAGCTCCAAGAGGGAGGGCTCCAGAAAAAGGCTGGAGCCCGAGACGAAGGCGACTCCAGAGAGCCGTGCTCTGCTCTTTCTCTCGGGAGGAGCAATTTGGGGTGTCCCAGCACTTTAGTGTGAGGTGCAGCTGCGGCTGCAGACTGTGAGGGCGCTGGGGTGGGAAGGGGGGCCCGGGCGACACGCTCTGTCTCCACAGGCTCTGCCACCTTTCCAGATCCCGGTCTCCCCGCACATCTACACCAGCATCAGCTGGGCCGCGGCCCCCTCCAGCGCCTCCTCCCTGTCCCCGGTGAGTGCGCCCAGCGCTTCGAGCCCCTCAGCCCTTCCAGGGGCCCCAGAAACAGCCGAAGGCCCAGCCACACACACCCGGTGCTGGAGGCCTTTCCCCCCGACCTCGCTGCCTCCTGCAGCCCAGCTTCTTGAAGGTCTTCATACCCTTGCCCACCCCCCCTCACTGAGAGTCACAGGCGCCCATAGAATGTTGGCGGGGCACGCCGGCGAGGAGCACCCAGATCCAGTTTATTGCCAAGGTCATGAGGCCAGGTGGGATCAGCACCCTATTTAGCCCTGAGCCCCTGGGGGTGCTTGGTAAGGTTTTGATGCCAAGAGGAAGAGGGAGAGGACATGGGGGCGCTGGAGAGGAAGAGGGAGGGTGAGAAAGGAGAGAGGGGCATCTGGGTGGCTGTGCAGATGGATCAGAGCTCCCTGGGCCACTGCAGACCAGCGCCTTAGGTTGCTTGTCCCCAAACTGAAATAAATCGGAAGTTATTTTGAATCCCCATGGACAGAAGAGCCTGGCAGGCTACAGTCCATGGGGTCACAAAGAGTTGGACAGGACTGAGAGACCCTTAGGGTGTTGCAGACTGAAACGCCTCCTGCAGGAAGGCATCACCACGCACTGTAAAGCCAGCGTGCCCGAAGGTGCCGCTGAGGCTGTGCTGTCCCTCTTTCTGCCCCAATGTGACAGCTTCTTCTAAACCTGCAGATGGCAGCCCGTGAGGGGGCCCAGCTAAGTGGCTCTCCTGCCTGGAGCCCCTTCCCCTGGCTGGAGTGTGCCTCTCAAGGCTGGCTCCTCCCTCTCTGCCTCCACTCCCTCCTTGGTCCCTGCTCACCTCTGGCTGAAATCTTCGAGAGAAGGCCTCCTGGCACAGGGTGGGGTGGGGTCCCTTTGCCTTGCACGCCTGCCTTCGTGCTCACAGTCCCTCTGCCCTGTGTCCAGGTCCGGAGCCGGTCGCTAAGCTTCAGCGAGCCCCAGCAGCCGCCCCCTGCCATGAAGTCTCACCTGATCGTCACGTCTCCACCTCGGGCCCAGAGCACCACCAGGTGAGCTTGTCCTCTCTCGAGATCTCCTTGGGGGCTCCTGTCCCCACCCACCCCTCGTCCCCAGGGTCGGTCCCAGGGAGCCGGTGGGGGGACGTCTCAGATGCGAGGGAGGCAGTCGGTCCTCCAGCCCTGGTGGTTCCCCTTGCTGGCTGGTCAGCGGGTGACCATCCCCTCATCGCCCTGGCTTGCAGGAAAGCCCGCGGGGAAGCTAAGAAGTGCCGCAAGGTGTACGGCATTGAGCACCGGGACCAGTGGTGCACCGCCTGCCGCTGGAAGAAGGCCTGCCAGCGCTTCCTGGACTGAACCGCGGCCCCTCCCGGCGGCCTGGGGACACAGGCAGATGGGTCCCAAGCCCACCGCAGAAGCCTAAAAGCTACAGAGTGGACACACGGGGAGTTTGGGCTCTATTGGCTAAGGTTGAATACTCAAAACATTTTCCCTCCCTCATGGGAATGTTTTAGTTTTTTAAAAAAAAAATAGAAACAAAAAAATTATTTTTTTTTCTTCCCCTAAAATGAGAGAGAGCCAAAACTGACCAAGGGTATTCTGCAGCAAACCAGAGACCAAAGAAACGACTCCCTCTCCTCTCCTCCACACAGCCCCTCTCCCTAGGGGATTAACGTGTACCGTATGGAAGGAAGGGACAGCTCATCCTGTTTCCTGCTGGGCTGGTGGATTCTTTGCTTTCTCCACTCTTCCAGAAGGGACTGTGAGCAACATGGATTTACTTTTTTTTTTTTAAGAAAAAAAAAAGAAATTTCTGGCTGATGACTCAGAGAACAGGACCTGCTGAGGCTGGGGTGGGAAGACGGGGCTGATGTGTGAGCTTTTTGAGGTGCAGCCGGCCCCCTTTCTCCACTCAGATCCAGGAGGAGGGAGAGATTGTCCGCACCCAGCAGCCTCCATCAGAGTTCAAGGAAAGCCCTTTTTCCGGTGCCAGCTGCTCCGATCTGGGGTCCCTCAGGTCAGGTTGCAGCCCAACAGATACAGTATGGCCTCTTCAAGCCCAGACTCATAGGTTTGTAAAAAGACTGGGACAGTCAGGAAGCTGAGCCAAAAGGCTAAAAAGAATTCACGTCGTACAGCGTGACAGATCAAGACTACCTTGCTCACTCTTTCCTTAACAAGAGACCAGGCGGTGTAGTACTCGGCAAGAGTGCTTCGCTGTTCCCCAAGTACCCACGCCCACCCCTCCCCACCAGCTCTGGAAGACACCCCCCCCCAGAAACACTTTGTTTTCACTTAACGGTATATTCAAGAGCCTCTTTCTGATTAAAGACTCCCCCTTTGTTTGGCCGAGAGATCCTGCCCTGAGGTAGGTCCCTCTTCGTCTCATGGAACCAGGGATTTTCCCATGTTCCTCCAAGGCCACAGGGCCGGGCTGGCGAAGAGAACAGACAGAAAGGTAGGTGGCAGCTTCTGCCACGGGGAGAGGGGTGCAGAGCTGTCCCGTGGCTCCACGGGCTCACCTGGCCCTTTGGGGACCGTCTGGTTTTCTTCCTAAGGTGACAGGTGGGACAGGACTTTTCAGGGGGCTTCTGCTTGGTCCAGTCAGTGTGATGGGGAGGGTCAGTTGGATGTGGTGTCATGTTCCCAGACACCTGTTGGGTGTCTTTTCTGCCCGAAGGCAGGATGGGGCAGGTTAGGGAGCCTGAGGAGGTGAGTTCAGTTCATTTTAGTCGCTCAGTCGTGTCCAACTCTTTGCGACCCCATGAACCACAGCACGCCAGGCCTCCCTGTCCATCACCAATTGCCGGAGTCCAAGTTGGGTGTCTTTTCTGCCTGAAGGCGGGATGGGGCAGATTAGGGGGCCTGAGGAGGTCACGTGACGGGAACTGGGGTTGATTTAGCATCTACTGGAGACCTCAGGAATGGAGGGGACCCCAGACTGCGTGACTTGAGAGCTAAATACATGAATCCATTTTCGTTGAGGAGGGAGAAGTAGAGGCAGGGGCTTCTGTGCCTGGGCGAGCAGGGCTGAGCAAAGGCACATTTTTGGCTCAAAGCCTCACCTTTCTGCCGAGCGGGACTGGTTTTGGGGACTCCTCAGGGCCCACGTCCCAAATGTCAGGGGCTCAGGGAACCGTACCACGAGGCCAGCTCTCTGGGGCTTGCACAGCGGTGTCCAGCCCTTGGCTGTGAGCAAGGCTGTCCTTCCCGTCCAGGCGGGCTCACTTGGCTGCAGGAACCCAATAGATGCCTTTCCGTCTGTGACACGCCGCGTGTTGGAAAGCGGCAAACAGGGGAATAGGGGGTGTGATGGTGTGAAGGGTGATGGTGACCTGGGTTTGGTGACAGAAGGGAAAAGCACTCTTACCCATGAGTGTCTTTGGTGGTGATGGGGTATATTTTTATAAGTCAGTTAAAAAAAAAAAAAATTATGTATGTGGAATTCTGTCCCTCGGTAAAGCTGGAACTCAGGCCAGCAAGAGGTGCTGGGTTCTTCCTCCCGCTCCTTCAAGCTCCCAGCTTCCCAAATCTGACTCCTCGCTTCCCGCCCTGTGCCCTGCAGGTCCTACCCGTGTGGAGAGGGGGCCTTGGAGACTGGGGTGGGGGGAGCTCTGCCCAGCAGCGTCTCCCCTTTCCTCCTTGCTCAGAGCTTTTGCTGGGTCTCCCCTTTGGAGACACTGTTTTCATTGCCCCCTCAGTTTGGACCATTAGGTACAACTGGATATCAAGGTTTTCTCTAAGTGAGGCAGGCTTCTCGTGTCACTGCTGCACACGGCAGAAAAGGAAGAGAGAAGAAATTGATGCAACAATTTCAAAACGGAGGGTTTTTTTGTTTTTTTAATGTTCTGGTGCGGCTTTCCCTGGCGGCCTTTGCTGCAGCCTCCTTCCTGGTGGTGGTGGCCTCGTCCAGCCTCTCTCCTCCCACTGCTCCATCTGTGGCTGTTGTGTGGGTTCTTGACGTGTGGTCTGTCCTGGGGTTGTCCCGTTCGTCTCTTCTCGGAGGGCCGGGGGTGGTTTGTGACTTGATCCCACCATCACGCCTGTTTTCTTCATCTCTGTATTTCTCCCTACTTCCCGGCCCATCCTGGGAGGCAGAATCTGATGGAAGGTAAGAGGCGACAGGTGCGCTTTGGAAACTAACAGGACGTATTGGGAAAGCAAGCGTCTTGGGAAACTCTTTATTCCGGGAATGTTATGTTTATTCACAATATTTTGGAAGTACCTTTGGAGTCTAGTGCCTGCTTTGAGCAGCCTTAATGATACCGAATCTGCACCCGTGCGCCTTCAGTGCGAAGAGTCCAGTGGATAAGGGTGGTGGTAGTGGTTGAGTCACTGAGTTCCATCTGACTCTTTGCGACCTCATGGTAGCCCCACAGGCTCTTCTTGTTCATGGGATTTCCCAGGCAAGAAGACTGGGGTGACTTGCCATTTCCTGGTGGTCAAATGAGGTCACAGGTGCAGAACACAAAGCCCATCGGGTGAGTAAAATGGCTTAGATTGAATAATCTGACTTCTGAGCCGGCTGAAAGCAATCGTGTAATTTCAGAACACATTCTGAGCAACATCCACAGTGTTGCAGTTGCCCTGAGGCTAGATTCTTTGAAGAACATAATGGATTTGGATGTGGAAACTCTGACTTGTTGGAAGAAATCTGTCCTGTTACTTTCTGGTCCTCGCAGGTTCTGACTTTACCAGGGGCAAAAAAAAAAAAGAGGGGAGGGAGATAAATCCCATCTGTGAACTTGTCTTTATTGGCGCCTTTTCCCCCAGCTGTCTTCCAAGTATTATTTTTACTGTTAAAAATTTTTTTAAAAATGTGAAATATAATGTTTTTACAGCAACAATATGAAATATATTTTATAAGGAATAAAATGGTACATTGTCTGATTTGATGTGTGCCTGTCCCTCCACCCTCTCACCCTGCAAAGGATAAGATTATCATTGTCCTTGGTGTTAAGCAAGCAATAGTCCCGGGGGAGAAGTGTGCACACTCATTTGCTTATAGTAATAGCAGGCAGCATTATCAGGGACCTGGCCAAGTGCTTACATGGATAACCCACGAAGAAATTACTGTTGTCAGTCCCATTTTTATTTTATTTTTAAAATAAAAAAATTATTTTTAAAATTTATCAATTTATTTTCATTTCATCATTCCCATTTTACAGATGAGGAAAGTGAGGCCCAGAGGTTAGAAAACTTGCCCGAAGTCGTCATCCGGGAAATAATGGCACTAGGATTGTAATCTAGGAGATAACCATTTTCTTTTTTTTTTCTTCCTAATCTCTAATTTTAATTTTTACAGTTTAATGGTTTATTACAGTGCAAACACCTAAGTACCCACCATTCCTTCAAAAAGCAGATCGTGGCCAGCATTCCAGAAACTGCCCTTGTACCTCTGTGTTGTGCTCAGTCGCTCAGTCGTGTCCGATTCTGTTCGACCCATGGACTGTAGCCCGCCAGGCTCCTCTGTCCATGGGGATTCTCCGGGCAAGAACACTAGAGTGGGTTCCGATGCCTTCCTTCAGGGGATCTTCCCATCCCAGGGATCAAACCCAGGTCTTCCGCGTTGCAGGCAGATTCTTTACCATCTGAGCCACCAGGGAAGCCCTCTAGCGAGGCGCTATTCCTCTTTTCCTCATAAAAGCAACCACTGTTCTTTGACTTTTTACATCAGTGATTTCCTTGATTTAGGAAAAGAACCATTTTCTCTCTTGCTTGCATTGTTGACAATGGGGAGAAGCTCCTGGCTGTGGACCTGAATTTGTTGGGGAGCCGGCGAGTGCCTAAGGAGAGAATGAGCCACTTTCTGCTTGTGCAGTGTGTGCTAGCCCTGGGGAGTAACAAGGGCTGCCCCCCACCCACCCCCGACCCCCGGGTCAACCCGTGGGTTTGGTGTCCTGTGATTGCCCATGTGGCTGGTTCAGAGCTGTCCTGGGTGGAAGGGGAGCTGGCACAGAAAGCTCTATCTCGCCCTGGGAGGGGGTTCTAGGACCTCCTCACAGCACCCAGCGGGGAGGTATGAAGCTGCTCTGAGAAGGCCTAAGAATTAGATTTCTGCCAAAGTTAGTCCAGCTCAGCAGCCTGTGGGAGACCACCCCGCCCCGCCTTCCCCCACCCCTCCTTTAAAGGGGTTTACTGCCTTTGGGTTGGACATTGTCCATTTGCAGCTCTGCACCCTCCCAGGCCCACCTTTGTGGCTGCACCCGAGGACCCCCTAACTTTCTGGCTCCCAGTTGGGTCTGACCAACCGGAGACGCCAGGCTCGAGTTGGAAGGGAGACAGTTGTTCAATCTCGCCGACGGTACTACCCTGCACAGTGAGTGGCTGTTTCCCTCCTGACCGCTAGAGGGAGCTGCAGTCCTCGCTGGTTCCAGTAACCCCTCACCTCACCAGGCGCCCCCTCCCCCGAGTTCCCCAACAGAGCACCTTACCCTCCGTATTGATTTCCCACGGCCCCCTGTCTGTCTATATAGATGTTTGACCCATCTCAGTCACTCCATTTGGGTGGACCAGAGGTTTCTTGGCTGAACTGGTATCATCCATCTTAACATGTTTTAATTTCGACCCCATCCGGAGGGTCCCAAACCAGCAAATGCTGCATCACCTGGAAATTGTTAAAGATGCAACTTTCTAGAGAGTCGGAAACGGAGGGTGGGGCGCAGCAGCCTGGCCCCTCCCCCGTCCCGCCCGCTGGGCCCAATCTCACCGCTGTGGGCTCTGGATCTGGGGGCCCGGCTCGGTCGCGGTGTTCCTGCTCGACACACTTCACAGAAAACAGAGTCGCCTCTGGCTCCGAGGAGAGGCAGCTCTGACGGTATGTCTGGAGCCTGTGCTCTCAGTTAAAGAAACAGCCAACCCATTTACCAACCATTTGCTCAGTAGAAGTTTAATGGAGAAATATCTGTTTAAAACAATCGGTCAAAAAGAACAGCTCTTTTACAAACAAGTTACGGCAGTGACGAGTCAAAACCCCAGGCTTGATTTCCTGTTCCTTGAACCCACCACCTCAAAGAGGGAAGAGGTGGGTGAGAAGGAGAGATGGGGCCGTTTAAATGTTAGCTGGAGGAGTTACAAAAATACACTCTGATGTAGCCACAGGGTTGTCATGAAACATGCCATGGGTGGGGAGGGGCCAGGAGGAGTCGGGGAGGGAAAGACAACCAGATGGCGCAGGGCCCCGGGGCGGCGGCCTGGAGCGGAAAGCTCGCCTCAGTGCCTTGGGGAGGGAGGCGCCCTGATGCCCAGCCGGCAGGTCTGGGGCTGGAGACATGCTGCTTTGGGGATCGCCCGGACACCTGGGGAGACATAAATTAAAATGACAAATGAATGGCAGATTAAAACGGCAAGTCCGACAGTTTTTCTGACCCTTCAATTCGCTTTTCCCTAGTGCCTGAGAAACAGAAAAGAGGCAAAGAAAAACTATCACTTGGGACTTTCCTGGTGGTCCAGAGGTTAAGATCTGGTGCTGTAAATGCAGGGGTGCTGTGCTGTGTGAAGTCGCTGTCGTGTCTGACTCTTTGCAACCCCATGGACTATAGCCCACCAGGCACCTCTGTCCTTGGGATTCTCCAGGCAAGAATACTGGAGTGGGTTGCCATGCGCTTCTCCAAGGGATCTTTCCAGCCCAGGAATCGAACCCGGATCTCCCGCATTGCAGGTGGATTCTCTACCGTCTGAGCTACCAGGGAAGCCCAAGAATAGTGGAGTGGGTAGTTTATCCCTTCTCTAGGGGATCTTCCCAGGGATCAAACCCAGGTCTTCCGCGTTGCAGGCAGATTCTTTACCATCTGAGCCACCAGGGAAGCCCTCTAGCGAGGCGCTATTCCTCTTTTCCTCATAAAAGCAACCACTGTTCTTTGACTTTTTACATCAGTGATTTCCTTGATTTAGGAAAAGAACCATTTTCTCTCTTGCTTGCATTGTTGACAATGGGGAGAAGCTCCTGGCTGTGGACCTGAATTTGTTGGGGAGCCGGCGAGTGCCTAAGGAGAGAATGAGCCACTTTCTGCTTGTGCAGTGTGTGCTAGCCCTGGGGAGTAACAAGGGCTGCCCCCCACCCACCCCCGACCCCCGGGTCAACCCGTGGGTTTGATGTCCTGTGATTGCCCATGTGGCTGGTTCGGAGCTGTCCTGGGTGGAAGGGGAGCTGGCACAGAAAGCTCTATCTCGCCCTGGGAGGGGGTTCTAGGACCTCCTCACAGCACCCAGCGGGGAGGTATGAAGCTGCTCTGAGAAGGCCTAAGAATTAGATTTCTGCCAAAGTTAGTCCAGCTCAGCAGCCTGTGGGAGACCACCCCGCCCCGCCTTCCCCCACCCCTCCTTTAAAGGGGTTTACTGCCTTTGGGTTGGACATTGTCCATTTGCAGCTCTGCACCCTCCCAGGCCCACCTTTGTGGCTGCACCCGAGGACCCCCTAACTTTCTGGCTCCCAGTTGGGTCTGACCAACCGGAGACGCCAGGCTCGAGTTGGAAGGGAGACAGTTGTTCAATCTCGCCGACGGTACTACCCTGCACAGTGAGTGGCTGTTTCCCTCCTGACCGCTAGAGGGAGCTACAGTCCTCGCTGGTTCCAGTAACCCCTCACCTCACCAGGCGCCCCCTCCCCCGAGTTCCCCAACAGAGCACCTTACCCTCCGTATTGATTTCCCACGGCCCCCTGTCTGTCTATATAGATGTTTGACCCATCTCAGTCACTCCATTTGGGTGGACCAGAGGTTTCTTGGCTGAACTGGTATCATCCATCTTAACATGTTTTAATTTCGACCCCATCCGGANGGAAGAGAGGAGGGAAGCATAGGGCCAGGCAAACGGACGGTAGGTACCGGGCTCCGTCGCGTACTCTTCACAGGTCTCTCTAGGACTGGTCCTGCACCCCACTGTCCCTCTTTTTTTGGTTCCATTTGTTATCTTTTTTATTGGAGTGTCATTGCTTTATTATGTTGTTAGTGTCTGCGGTACAACAAAGTGCGTCGGCTCTAAGCACACACGTCTCCTCCCTCTAGAACCTCTCTCCTTCCCGCCTCCCCGCCATCCCACCCCACTCGGGCATCACCGCGCTGAGCCGAGCTCCCTGGCCGTACACCAGCTTCCCACGAGCTGTTTTACACGACAGTATGTGTGGTCAATTCTACTCTCTCAGTTCACAGCCTCTCTCCCCTCCCCTGCTGTGTCCACAGTCCATTCTCCACCGTCTGCGTCTCTATCCCCACTCTGCAAAGAGGTTCCTCTGTGCCGTTTTTCTAGATTCCATATATGCCAGTGTCCCTCCCTTCTAGGACATCATTACGCTTTCTGAATAAGGGTTCTTTATCCCAAGTGTTTGCTTCCCCGGTGGCTCAGTGGTCAAGAACCTTCCTGCCAATGCAGGAGACACAGGAGACATGGGTCCTATCCCCTGGAGGAGGAAGAATGCTCCAGTATTCTTGCCTGGGGAATCCCATGGGTACAGAGGCCTGGCGGGCTGCAGTCCATGAGGTCACAAAGAGTCAGACATGATTGGGCACACACACACGTCCCAGGTGGTGGGTGGCGCCGTTTCCTCCAGCATTCTAAACATAGCTTGGTGTTGGGTGTCTCTGGTGTCCAGAACAGCTCTGGCAGTAGGAGTCCCCGAGCCATGGAGAAATCTCAAGCATGTGTGGGGCCGGCTGGGGTGTGTACAGGCAAATAAAGACAGGCTTAAGGGACTCATAAATACACATCCACACTGGAACTCAGCAGCCATGAATGTGTAGAAAAAAGAATCAGCAAGATGGTCGCAGGAGGAGAGCGATCGATAATACCCAGATGAGCTGCTTAATATCACCAGCGTTTCCATCAAGAACTTTATATCTTGAGCAAAGCCACAGGCAGAAGATGGTTACCCGTTCTGTTCCAGTGCCTCTCGGTTGGAGGCTTAATAGAAAACTAGAAAAACCAATTACCTGAATAGGGGCTCAAATAGTTTTTCTAAAAACTAAATTGATTTCTGCTAAAGTGACTGATATGAAACTGTCTTTATAAGGTAAATGGTCATAGTTCAGATTTAGACGTGTCTTGATGGTCCCTTTAAGAATAATGTACCTAAAAAAAAAANGAGGGGTGAGATAGGGTGGGATGTGGGAGGGAGGTTCAAGAGGGAGGCGACATATGTATACCTACGGCTGATTCATGTTGATGTGTGGCAGAAACCAACACAATATTGTAAAGCAATTATCCTCCAATTAAAAAGTTAAGAAGAATGTCTTTAATATTTGGAAGAATTCAGCCCATGCCATTTCTGAAAGATTTTTTATTAGGTCCCATGTAGATATGGCTTTGGAGAAATGAATGCTTATTAGGGATCCAAGAATATGACTTCAAAACCAGTGCAGGTTAATTCAGGGCCTTCAGAGATTAGTCATTCTGCTAAAATAAACACGGCAGCCTTTGGCTCGCCACTGAATACATATACCCGTATTTGGCAATGGGCATTTTGCAAACAAGCCAGCCTACCTGCAAAGTGTTATGTGGGCTGCCTTCCTGCTGCAGTGTGGGTGCTCAAGATTCACATGTGGATTAATATACATTGAAGGAAGATTATTAACGATCTGGCTACCTTTGACATATGGGAAGCAAAGTAAAAGAGCCCGTGCACAAACTTTTGCTTTTATGCCTCTGCGTAAGGCAAAAGCCCCCACTTGGGTAATAATGTTTGCAGAAAGCTTCTGACCAACTGAATAGTTCATTCTGTTAGGGGAAGCTTCTCTCTTTAAGGAGAGATATGAGATACTGTACGTGAGCCTGCGCAGTCTGTCCTGTCTGACTCTTTTCAACCTCATGGACTGCATGCAAGCTTCCAGGCTCCTCTGTCCAAGGGATTCTCCAGGCAAGAATACTGGAGTGGGTTGCCATTTCGACCTCTAGTGGATCTTCCCAACACAGGGATTGAACCCATGTCTCCTGCATTGATAGGCAGATTCTTTACCACTGAGCCACCAGGGAAGCCCAGATGAGATCCTGCAGATAATCATATTCCTACATGTGAATTAAGGCACATAGGCTTAATGATTGGAATTCTCTTAGATTTTCAGAAAAGTTCATTGTGCTAGTTCCCTCTGCTACTCAAAGTTATGTATAGGTTAATGGGCTGAGGAAAGCCGAGTTTGTAATGACTGGGAAATGAGTTAGGATCTCTGATGTCTGTGATCTGATCTGCATTGTAGGTACATGTATAAATGAGTGCCTGGGGGACTAAGAACAGACAGGCAGGGAGATAGGAGGAAGGGCAAGCAAGCAAGCAAACACAAAACAGAAATGGCACCTAGGTACTTCCCCGGTGGTCCAGTGGTTAAGAATCTGCCTGCCAAGGAAGGGGACACGGGTTCAATCACTAGTACAGGAAGATGCCACATGCTGTGTGGCAACTCAGCCTGTACAGCACAACTACTGAAGCCCTCACACCCTAGAACCTGTGCTCTGCGACAAAAGAAGCCGCCACAGTGAGAAGCCTGTGCACTACACCTAGAGAGTAGTCCTCACTTGCCGCAATCAGAGAAAACCCATGAGCAGCAACGAAGACCCTGTGCAGCCAAAACTAATAAACAAAAATTAAAAACAGCAACCAACCAACAAAACACCAGAAATGGCACCTGGAAAGAGGCAAAAAGTGAGGAAAAATGATGATCCTTTAGTCCCTCTCCTAAAAGTGACTGAGGTCATTAGGGCCAGATTATCAAAGCCTTGCTCAGGTGCCATCAGCTGCAAAGAACCAGCCCACCTGTGGCAAAGTGATCAGGTGAACAAGTGATGTGTGGGAGAAAGAAACACAGAAGGTGTCCTAACAAGAACTGGTCCTAACCAGAGCTCCTTGACTGGGGCAGAGTGTAAAAGTTGAAAGGCTGCCATGGAAGCCAGTCACCTTGAGATAGAGAGAGTAGGGGAGGGGACAGCTAAGCCATCTTTGAAGGTGAAACAGCAACATCACACACATAAATCAGACTCTGCAAATGGCTAAGTGCAGGTCCAGCTCTGGGTCCTTAAAGTCTCAGGGGAAAGGTGGTGAATGGTTTCTATGGCAACCATATAGGAGGCTTGGTCCACTTCATTGTCCCCATAGTAACTAAGCTCCTGAAGAGCCATAGAGGAATTAGTTATCTTAACGCACTACTATTATCCCCATGGTAACCAGTCTCTTCACCGCAGTGGTGAGCTGCTGGGAGCAATCCCAGGAAAATTTTTGCTCCCAGAAAGAAAAAAAAAAGGTGGGCTGGAGCAGTCCTAGGAGCCGAACCCCTGAAGGAAGTGGTGTGACTGTGTGTCTGTGTGTCTGGGTGTCAACATGTTTCCCCCAACCAGGGAGGAAGGTTAAGACGGGGTAGAGGAGTTTTCTTCTTGCCCCCAGCTCATTGGGGCCCCACTCACTCATGGGTTGAAGTGGACGGTGCAGCCGGGAGGGGCTCCCCTTCCAGCTACGCATTACCATTCTGGTGCAGGGTGCGCCGGCGCTGGCTGGACTGCATGCTCAGGACCAGGTACTGCCGCATAAACTCACTGAACCGCTTCTGGTTAGCCAACTTCCGGGCCGACTTCCGGGCCCCGGTGAAGCCCCCGAACCGCTTCTGCAGCTGCTTCTGCTCCATCTCCCCCACCTCCTCCAGGCCGGGCTCTGTCCTCTTCTGCCTTTGGAAGAGGCTCCTGACCCGGGGCATTCGTTTCAGATGCTGCATCTCAGAGGCTCTGGGCTGGTCCGGAGCAGCCGCCACGTGGTCTGGGTCAGCAGGGCTGAGCTGCCAGGAGCCCCTGGCCATGACCTTGGTGCATGGAGTCCAGAGCGGGCTGGTGAAGACCTTCCCTTCACACTCGAGGATGCACACCTGAAAAGGGAGAGGTTGGAGGGAAGAGAAAGACCAGGGACATCTATTAGTCCAAGGCAATGAGGAGGTCAAGTACTTTCGTTGTCTATTTTAGGGCCTTCCAGATGGCTTAGTGGTGAAGAATCCGCCTGACGGTACAGGAGAAGCTGGAGGTGCGGGTTGGATCCCTGGATCGGGAAGATCCCCTGGAGGAGGAAATGGCAACGGCTCCAGTATTCTTGCTGGGATAAGCCCGTGGACAGAGGAGCCTGGCGGGCTACAGTCCATGGGGTTGCAAAGAGTCAAGACACGACTGAGCATTCATTATCTATTTTGGTATCAATTCAGTGCAAGGGCTTTTGAAGTACCTCTTCAGTACCATGGAGCAGTTTTACATATAGTTACTTAAGTATTTCAGAGTTGGAAAGAAACAGAAAACAAATTGGCCCATCTCTGTCATTTCACAAAGAAAGCTGGGGCTCAGAGACATGAGGTTAAGTTACCCAGGTGACTCAGCAAGTTAACAAAATGCACAAACAGAGTTATAGTCTTTGTTGGGTTTTTGGAGCCAAACAGCTCATCAGGATCATCCAGAAAGAAACATTTTGTTCTGTTCTCTTATCAGGCCTGGGAGAGGTCAGAGTGATTTAAGAAACTGGGGATGTTAAAGCATGTGGTCACGCAGTTAAATCTGCATGGTTATTCTAAGGTCACCTGGTAAAGATCAACCTTGGTGTGATTCATTTTTCACCTTGCATACATTCATCATCACTATCAGTGCATCAGTTATAGAAAATAGGGATCAAATAGAGAGCAGACTTATGGTTGCCAAGGGGTAGGAGTGGGTGGGAGAAGGATGGACTGGGAGTTTAGGGTGAGTAGATGCTAAGTATTACATACAGCATGAGTGGACAACACAGTCCTACTGTATAGCCTAGGGATCTAAATTCAATGTCCTAGGATAAACCATAATGGAAAAGAATATTAAAAAATTGTATATATAATAACCGAGTCACCTTGTTGTCCAGCAGAAATTAAAACAACCTTGTAAATCAACTATACGCCAATAAAAAGTTGGAAAGGGGGTTTAGGCCCTTTTGGGTTTTGGCCAGTTTGGTTATTTTGGGCTTTTCGGCCCCATTTCGTTGGCCTTGCCGGTTCCTTGGGACTCCTTGCGGTTTTTTTTTTTCTTGGCTTTTCCCCTTTTTGTTTTGGCCCCCCGGCTTGCCCTTGTTTTTCCGTTCCTTTCTTGCTGGGCCTTGGCTTTACCCTTTCCTTCCCCCTTTCTTTTTTTTGTTTGGTTTTCTTGGAGGCTTTTGCTTCCAGTTTTTTTTCCCCTTTTTTTTGGTTTCGGGTTTCTTGATTGGTTCAGTTGTTAAAGAATCCACCTGTAAAGCAGGAACCACAGGAGACAGCATCAATCCCTGGTTTAGGAAGATTCCCTGGAGAAGGAAATGGGAACCTGCTTCAGTATTCTTGCCTGGAAAATCCCATGGACAGAGGAGTCTGGTGGGCTACAGTCTGTGGGGCTGCAAAGAGTCGGAAACGACTGAGCACCCAAGCACACTTTACCCCAAACACTCCTCTCTGTGTTTTTGGGGTCAGATGAAAACCCCACTTCAGCCTGACTTTGACATCATGGTGAGCAGGAAGCTGCAGAGCCCTTCATCAAACCTTGGAGTCCTTTTTTTAAATTTAATTTTTAATTTTTTTGGCTGCACCACGCAGCATGTAGGATTTTAGTTCCTGGACCAGGGATCAAACCTGCACCCACTGCATTGGAAGCTTGGAGTCTTAACCTCTCTTGGTCTACCAAGAGAGTCCCAAACTAGGGAGTCCATACCTGGCTTACAGGGCATCAGAAGTTACTGCTCTGGTTGGGCAGCTGCAGGATGTGAGAAGATGCATGTGTGCCCCACTGGGGCTCTCTGGGGAGCAAACACTCCCACCCGGGTGTTCGGAGTGGCACGCTTGCCTCTATGGGCAAGGTTTCCAACTTGATCTCTAACTGAGTAGTGAGATATGCATGCAGCTTAAATCACAGGCTTCACCAGCTGTTCCACCAAATCCTCAAAGTGTGTCCTTCAGCCTGACTTCTCCTGCTTGCCTTTACCACTCTGACCCTGCCCTCCTTTTGTTGCTGCCAAGCTTCTCCAAGATGTGGTCATGCTCATGCCTACACCTCAGCATCTCCCACTTTCTCCTCCTGACTTATGTGTGAGGAATCAAATCTCTGTCTTTTTTGGGGGGTGGGGCACACAGCGCAGCTTGTGGGATCTCAGGTCCCCAACCAGGGACTGAACCCATGTCACACAGTGAAAGCCCGGAATCCTACCAGCGGACTACCAGGTATTGTTTAGTTGCTAGGTTTCGTCCAACTCTTTTGCGACCCCATAGGCTGTAGCCCAGCAGGCTCCTCTGTCCGAGGGATTTCCCAGGCAAGAATACTGGAGTGGGTTGCCTTTTCCTCCTCCAGGGGATCTTCCTGACTCGGGTTAGAACCCAAGTCTCCTACATTGGCAAGTGGATTCTTTACCACTAGGCCCCCTGAGAACTCCTAAATCTCCACCTTATTAAAGATGGCCCTTCAGGTGTTTGTTACTAGCAGGTGACTAATTCTTATCTGATATACTTTTTCAGTATGAGTGGAACAAGTTTGAAGGAACTACTGATTGTAGCATATATATCAGTACTTCACTCCTACTTTTTTCCACCCCAAGTCTATCTTTTTGCTCTGTCTCTCTCTCTGAATGCCACTTTACTCCCCAGCTGGTTCAGGTTTAGAACCCTGGGCATCTCTCCAGCATTCCCCTTCTCAGGACCCCGTTTCTCCATCCAGTCAGTATGTAAGTCTGCCATCTCCTTTCCATCCCCTCTGCCTAATTTCCTCTTGGGAGTGCTGTGAAGCAAGGAGAACAGGTGACTCCTGTTCAAAACCCCTGACCTTCATGATGGATTTCGGGGAGAAGTTTTTATAGGCAATATTTGGGGTGAAGGCTGCAGGGTGTGTGACTTTGTTCTGAATGGCCGGTGGTAACAGATGTTCCAGGAATCTTGTGCTCAGCCTGAAGTTACCATCCTCCACCTGGGTGGGGGCCTTAGGTCCCACAGAAGAATTTAAAGGTCGTCGTTGTCATTCAGTCCCTAAGTCGCGTCTGACTCTGCGACCCACAGACTGCAGCACGCCAGGCTTCCCTATCCTTCACCACCTCCCGGAGTTTTCCCAAACTCATGTTCATTGAGTCGGTGCCGCCATCCAATCATCTCATCCTCTGTCATCCCCTTCTTTTCCTGTCTCCAACTTCCCCAGCATCTGGGTCTTTTCTGATGGGTCGGCTCTTTGAACTCAAAGATGCTGTTATGTATATTCCTTGAGGCGGAACCAGGAGTGGCTGCACTATTGTTTGACTGCTCCTCCCTGCTCTTGGCATCCCCTACCTTCCCTGATTAGCAACTTCCCTTTGGAACTCAGGCAGGTTCAGGAGACTGAACGAAGCCTATTTCCTACACACAAGAATTGGGGGACACAGAAAGGATTTGTACCCAGGAGGACCCCCAGGTCCTCCTCCATTTCACAAGGACATTGGCAAACAACCTATAATATATAGGACAGCCCACCCCCCACCCCAACAAAGCATAATCCAGCTTAATACAGCCACAGAGTCTGAGAAACCCTACTCTACAGAGTCAAGGAGGAAGCAGAAAGCATGGGTAACACCGGGAAAGCCAGTAGAAGTGAAATAGGAGGGAAGTGGGAAGGACAAAACCTCTAATCAAATGACATAGCCCTAGAGGATACAACAAAAACTGGTGAGAACCGACTAGATACAAGCCAGCAGAAGATTCGACTTCCAGTGAACCTTGAGCCTCTTCATATGCTCACTGTGATATTAGCATCTAAATGACACATTTATAGGCACCATGAAAGTTCAGAGGCTGACCATAAAAGGTCAAAAAGTGGGCGGTGGCCCAATTCCAGAAAATCTCTACCCCTTTTCCAAAATAACTGGAATAATTCTCCCACTCGCTCGTGAAATCACCCAGCCCATAAAAACTAACCACCCCATGTTTTGGGGCCTCTTGCCTTCTGAGATGGCCCACACTCTGTCTGTGAAATGTATTTCTTCCAGGGCCATTCTCTTCTTTTGAGACAGATGGCATTCTGTCTATGGAATGTGTATCTCTAAATAAAGCCACTTCTTACCTATCACTTTGTCTCTTACTGAATTCTTTCTGCAAGGAGACATAAAGAAGCTAAGCTTCATTAAGTCCTGAGACCAGGTGTGCAATCTTAATTAAAAGACAGTGGATTCAGGGGCTTCCCTGGTGGTCCAGTGGTTAAGAGTCTGCACTCCCAATGCAGGGAACTTGGGTTCCATCCCTGGCCAGGAAATTAGATCCCTCATCCTGCTACTAATGACTTTCCAGGTGGTTCCTTGGTAAAGAATCTGCCTGCCAATGGAGGAGGCACAGGAAAGAAATGTGGGTATTGATCCCTCTGTCAGGAAGATTCCCCGGAGAAGGAACTGGCAACCCACTCCAGTATTCTTGCCTAGAGAATCCCATGACCGAAGAGCCTGGAGGGCTAGAGTCCATGGGGCCAGAGTCAGACTTGATTGAGTGACTGAGCACACACTCACTCCCACATGCCACAATGAAAATCTAGCATGTGAGAATGCAAACTCCAGTGTGCTGCAACTAAGACCTGGAGCAGTCACATAAATAAAAAGAGTGGGTTCAAGTTCCATCCTGGGATTTGGCTGGGTTCAAGTCCCAACCTGAGTTGTGTGGTCTCATAAGCATAGACTTGTGGGACTCAAAAGGACCTTTGAACACACTTGGTTCAGTCCTCACAGGGATAGGATCCTCAAAGCGCTCATTGCCTTGATCTGCCCTGTCCATTTACAGGAACAGGTGGAAACTGTTAGCCTAGAGGCTCTCAGATCTTCTGTGAGCCCCTGGGTTTCTAAGCCCAGATGGTAATTATATTGCATGTCAATCAGAGAAAATGAAATTCTATG